TACCATTGTGTACAGTTTTAACGTACGTAATTGGTAATGGTGCGCATTCATGTATAGGTACTGGTTGCCGTATGGTGACATTTCACTCTTCAGAACGATGATATAAGCTAAAGGGTTTACAAGCTGAAAATTCTGAAACGGAATTACAAATTCAAGCAAAAAAATCAATGGGCATACGAGATTCACTATTTATATCTCGATCAAATTACCCAGTGTCTCTAACCATTGGTTGGTTTGATCATGAGGTCTGCAGATAGGAAGCCTATTGCAGTCCTCGTGCCTGAGTAGTTCATATGCTCATGATTTATCACAGTGTGACCATCTCTGACCTTCAGTGAAATGCATAAAACATCTCTACCTATAGTGTTCTGCGGATTTCCAGCAATTGTTTCATTGAGGGATGATGATATGCAAAACTTGACCCGGAGTATTGCTCGGTGCTAGTTGAGTAATTAGGTAAATTAAGTTAATTATTCCTGAACGTTTCCTATTCTGTGTATTATGACAGTACTTCAATTGGCTGCTTCCCTTTTTTAAGAATTATATGATCATATATGCAAATAAAAGAAAACGAAAACATTGTTAGTCTTCGGGACCTCGTTGTCATTCTAATAAATGGTTGATTGATTGTCTTGAACAGTGATGCTTTTGCATCTACTTAATTTCTCTGCAACAATTGTCCACTGGAGCTAACTATTTTGTCTTCAATACCACTTTCGATTTTCTAATCTCTCTTCTACCCCTTCGTCAAATTAACAATGATTGCACAGATCCCGAAACGGTTTCCCTGAAGTGCTATCTTTTCCGATGGACTTGTGAAGTACAAAAGCCGAAATGTGGTAGAAACTGAACATCGCTTGAATAGGAAAACCTTAGACTTCTTAAATAAATCCTTATTGATGCACTTTGTAACATGTAGCAAACGTTATATTGCATTATGCAGTTCCTGCAAGCATGTATGATTAAATTTCAGCCAACTGTAATATTAGGCAGAGTTCACGGAAAAAATGTCACGAAGATCATGAGAATAACTCAAAGTTCAAGATTGAGGTCTAGTTCGCTTGTTATCCTCGCTGTGGTTTTGAGCACATCTCTGAGAGAGAGAGAGAATAGACAAAGTCAGATAAACTCTTAAACGCCACAATCTATCGGTATTCAGAGTAAGCAGATGGAACGAAATTGTAATAATTCAGCATGCAATAGGTATTTGGTCTCTGCAAGACTCATTTTTAAGAAACATATGAAAGAAGTTATATAATGATCTGAAACTTTATCAGTTGATTGGTTTACGAAAATTAAAGAAACGGGACTAATATTCGTTGAAATGTGGTGTAAGACTTAAAACTATTGT